CTCGTCATCTCAGACGAATAGCAACAATTTATTAAATCTAATCTAACATCATTACTAAGCAGAAGCTGATAAACTCCGATCTTGGTTACTGGTGAAGACTTTCTGTTTCCCATGATCAGGTTTATCCTTCCTCGCTCTATCTCCTCACTTTCCTTTAGACCCTGCAAATCAGAACAGATATGAAAACCACATCCTGTATCAAGGACCCATGAACGAGAAGATAATGAGTTATTAGCAGAAATAGTGTAAATACCTGCCGAAGATGGCTTCACTTTGCCATCCTTGATATCTTGCAGATATTGTGGGCAAGATCTCTTCCAATGCCCCTTTTGGTTGCAGTAAAAGCAAACTGCCTCTTTTGGATCAGAAACATGGGGAGTGGAACCATTGGGCTTAGCCTTTGGGCCATTACTAGATGACCCAGCTTGAGCCTTGCTCTTCCAGTTTTGCTTGGGAGGACCTTTCCTCTTTTTCCCCTTTCCCTGTCCAATAGCCAAAACAGGGGCACTCGTAGGTGTGGAGGGTATACTTTTACCCTTCATCCCTGCCTCAGCTGTCTGCAACAAGTTGTGCAATTGGGCCAAGGTCTGCTCAGTATTGTTCAAATGGTAAGTTAGAATAAACTGACCATAACATTCAGGAAGTGAGTTCAAGACCATGTCAATGGCCAATTCCTCATCAAAGTGAATATTGAGCTTGACCAAACGCTCTATGTAGCGTTGCATTCTTTGCACATGTGACACAACCGACTCCCCATCTTTCATCTTGCAAGCCATGAGTGACTTGACTACTTCGAACTTTTCTTGACGAGCTCGCTTATGGTACTTTTCCATAAGGTCCTTGTTCATCTCGAAAGGCCAGTAGTCCTCATAGTACCTCTGCAGTTCTGGGGACATAGTTGCCACCATGATGCATGCCACTTTGGTAGCATCATCGTAATGTTTCTTGTAGGCAGCAAGATCTTCAGGAGTAGCTTCATTCTCATCAAGCTCTTTGAGCTCCTTTTCAAGAACATATTCTTTGTTCTCGAAACGAAGAGCCATCTTGATGTTGCGCATCCAATCGTTATAGTTTGAGCCATCCATAACGACTTTGGAGCATATATTGAGCAAAGAGAAGTTTTGGTTGGAGGAGGACGAAGCAGAAGTGTTTCCAGGAGTAGACATCTGAAAAGAAAGAAAGTTTTAGTTAGATTTCAAGATACCTTAATAGAATAACCCAAAGATATAATATCAAGGTTAGGATCCAACTATGAAGATTCACAACTTAGAAATGGGATGCCGAGATCCAAGTGCAAATTTCATAAAGGTAGGTGAATGACGATTCACCAATTCCACCATTAGACGAAACAAACGAAGTGAAATTCCTAATTCTTTTGAGATACATTGAAACTATTCAATGGCATGTTTTAATCTCAGATTATGCTCTTCTATTTGTGACTGGGATGCCGAGGATCACAAACAAGATGTGAATAACCATGCAAATGTGCTTGGTAACCTCATTGTCTTTATCATTAACTATTGATGTGCTGGTAAACCACACACGCTCCATCAAAATGACAATTATGAGATACCCATTACTACTCTTTATTAGTGCCTTTTAGTGTGCTGGTTAACCACACACGCTCCACTAACGACCAATAAAGCATAATGTGCAATTTCATGGATTAGCATACTTTTCACATTTTTCCTAAAGTAACTAGAGTTGGGATTTTGAAAATAATGTTCTAGTACTTTCTTTAATATCATTATACTTTTAATGAGAAGTAGTTGTCCTATCAAATCCGTTCTGCTAACGACCCTCCACTAATCAAGGAAGCGGTGGGTGAGAGTGGACACCCATTCAACTACCATTTTATAGGCAGTTTCCTTATACCCCCCTTATAGATTAGCTTCGTGAATGAGGCATACTAGCGATTTGACTGACCATATTCTTATACATATATAATATTAAACTTTTAATTATAATATATATATAAGGTGTGTTTTAAAACATTTTAAAACTTCAAGGGTTTATAAATTTCGAAATTTAAGCTATTAAATTTAAATTTAAATAAACCAATTAACTAGATTTAATATTTATCTTTTAATTAACTATTAATCAAATTATTAAATCTTGTAAGGATTATCTAATTAAATTAATCCATTAATTTAATCCTAATCCTTATCCCTCTAAATTTCGAAAAATAGGGTAAGGATAATTATCCAATTAATCTAATTAAGTAACAATTATCCAAAACAAGAAACCCTAGTTATCCTCTAGCATATTTCGAAATTCACAAGGGAGGAGGCTAGGGTTTTCAAAACCCTAACCCTAATTTCGATTAGGGTTCTTTGGAGGCTAGGGTTTTCGAAAACCCTTCAATCCAAAACCCTAATCGAAAATTTGGCCTTTAGGGTTTAATAGCTATAAACCCTAATTTGCAATTCAACTATTATAGCAATTCAATTTAAAACAAACAATGGCTCTGATACCACTGATGGGTTTTAGGTAAAACAAATAAACTAGAAAACAATTCCTAAGTTCACATGCAACCTACTTTGGATCTATGTTTTAACTATTGAACATACAACTTTGAATTGCAAAACAAGAACCCTAGAGGAGAGAGGCTAATTTCGAAATTAACAAACTAGGGTTTAGGAGTTACATACCTTTCAATTGTTATAGCAAACAATTGATAATCCTCTTGATCTTGATCTTGATCTTCTTGGAAGCTTAGCACCACAAATGTAATGCCTCTAATGGAATCACACCCAAGAACTAGCAAGAAGGAAACTTGGAGGAGAGAGGAGGAGAGAGTATGCAATTTCGGCCTTAGGGTTTCTTCCAAAGAAATCAGTACCCAAAATGTGAGCCAGGAGGCTCCTTAAATAGTTGAGGGAACTAGGGTTTAGGGAAAACCCTAGTTATCCTTTGCTTAGGGCCTAAGCAAGACCCAAGGCCTTATCTTGGACCCCTTGGACGAATTCTCTAGGGTTTCCCCTAGGGTTTTCGTTCACCCCCTTCCAAGGGGTTCTGGATCCTTCCACTCAACTATCAGTTAATTGCAAACTAGTCCCTGCACTTTATAATTAATTCTTTTAACCCCAAAATCAATTCTGATTAATTTCTGGCTAACAATTAATTAAACATAATGATTTCTAATTAATATATTAATCCATTAACATATTAATAAATCATTTATATATATATATTAATTTATTAATCTTATAAATTAATATCTCTCCTTTCATAATTTCCTTGTCCAGTTGCTAGGTTGAGGGCAACCCAAAAGGACTGTGCTGCTATCAATTCAAGTACATACCAATTATAGTTATGGGCTTAGACACCTAATCCAACAAAAACTGCCCCACTGCTTGGGCTGGACAATATACAGGTAAAAGCGGTAAGACAACAATAATTTTGCAAGCTGTTGCATCGTATGACTTATGGATATGGCATGCATTCTTCGGAACACCATGTTCGTGCAATGACATGAACGTCCTCCAAAGATCTCCTCTTTTTGATGATGTCCTGGCAGGTCGAGCACCAAAAGTGAGTTATACTGTGAATGATTGAGAAAATAATATGACTTATTATCTCACTAATGGCATATATCCTTCATGGGCCTGCTTGTCATGTCAATAAGTTCTCTCCACAACTTCAAAACACAAGTTGTTAGCTGAACATCAAGAGGCTGCTAGAAAAGATGTTGAAAGAACATTTGGAGTTTTACATGCTCGTTTTGCTTTCTTCATCGCTTGTCTTGTGTGCGACAAAGATATGATGGGGAAAATTATGATTGAATGTATCATTATTAATAATATGATAGTTGAGGATGAACGACACACACACACACATTCATTATTATGATCCATCATAATTTATAACTATAAAGACGAAGAATATTTGAATACTCTACTCAACGATTAGATCTATCCGGTTATATGACCAACATAGCACAAGTTTCGCAATAGAGAAGCTCAAAACGCTTTAAAAAACGATGTGATTGAACATATATGGAAAAAAATTCAACACTGAAGAATAATTTAGTAGTTTGCATCTAGTGTATTTGTAAATTATTTTATCTATTTTATTAAGTATGTTTCATAAATGTAAAATATTTTATTTATCTATTTTTATTTAATTTTATGTTTAAAGAATAATTTATTTGTTTCAAAATAATATTATTTTTAATATTTCTAGAGTTTTTAGTAAAGAAAATAAAAATAAGTTATATTTTTAAATAACAATGGGTTTGGATTGGGTTGGTAATGGGTGTAAAAAATTAGATTGGATAGGGGTTGTGGTGAAAGCAGAGAAATTAGTGTTTTATTAAAAAGTGGGTTTGGTTTGGGTTGCTAATGAGAGTAGTTTTAGCTACCCCCATTGGGGGATTTTTGGTGAGCCGCTTATGGAAAATTTATTAAAAAATGAATTAATTTTGGTGAACTAGACCGACAAAGCAACCCAACCACAAAGATCACATCCATTCACTTTAACACATGTTGACAAGAGCGTTTCACCATATTTTTAGATTAGATATTATAATTTTAGGATAAAAATCATTATCTACTAAAATCTAATGTTATTCAATCAAAAAATAGAAAAAAATATTAAAAGTTCTGTTTTTTTTTCTCTATAAATAGAGTATAATATTGATATACTTCATATCTCATCTCCACTTTTCATTTCTGAACCCTTTTGATTTCTGTAAGAAGATGGATCCAAATTTCCTTTTAAATCTAAATGATTCTCAGATTATCAACTTTCAAAGTTATGAACCTCACAGTTTTTTTGCAAATCCCAATCAATTTCCCATCACTGAAAATATTCAAACCTCGCAAAATACCGAAAAAAATCCAAGAGGTGATAGATGGGATGCTGATGAAGATATCGCTTTAATGTCAGCATATTGTATCCTTAGTGAAAATGAGAGACAAGGAAAAAACCAAAAGAAAACATCAATATGGGAAAGAGTGAAGGAGCTATATGATGCAAATTAGGCGGAAAATCAAGGAATGCTTGGTAACAGGAACATAGCTCAAATGAAAGGTCGTTATAAACAACTTAATGAAAGTGCCGGAAAATGGATTGGTATTTATCGAGAAGCATATAGAAAAAGAAGAAGTGGATTGAGTATGAAAGATGTTGAGAATAAAGCTCATAAATTGTATGAGACAAGTGGAAGCAAGTTCAATGACGCAATTGTTTTTAATGAGGTTATGTTTAAACATCAAAAATGGGATATACAGCTAGACCAAGATGCAACACGATCACGTCTTGAATATGAAGTAGGTGATGAAGAAAGTGGTGTAGCACATAAAGATCAAGGTGTACCGAAGAAGTGGAGTATTGTGTCCAATCCAACATAGAAGGGGAAAATATTACTGGTTCAACAATTAAATGTCCAACAGGTAGAGATGCGGCTAAAAGAAAAGAAAAAGGTAAGTTTTCTAATGAAGTTGTTGCAGAACTTCGTGCATTGAGGCTTAGTAGAGATAGTGAAGTAGAAGTCATGAAAAAAAGACTCGACTTGGATCAACAAAGGGATCAAAAAACAGATGAAAGGGAGCTAGTGAAGATGCAAAGTTTGCATATGAACACACTCCTACAAAATGAGCACTTGTCATCTGAAGAAGAAAACAAGAAACGTTTTCTAATCTCTATGTTTTATGGAAACTAATTGCAATTTAGGTTATGTTTTATTTTCATTATACTTTTAGTGTATTTGTAAGATATTTTATTTTGTATTTGTATCTCATGCTTTTAATGTATTTGTAAGATATTTTATTATGTATTTGTTCCTCATGATTTTAATGTATCTGTAATATATTTTATTGAATGCAGAGATGTCATTATTTTCTTTACTGAATGCATAGTTGTCATTATCATCTTTCGGAGACACTACTCATTTCCAATATGCTTTTATTTAATACAAAGTTGCCATTATCATCTTTCTTGAATGCATTGTTTTCAGTATAACCTTATCATCTAGAAAATCCACCATTATCTTATGTGTATGAGATTATGTGATGTGTCGTCTTTTTATTGGATCCTTGGATTTTTTTTAGATAAACTATTTTAACATTATATTTATTTAAAATTTGAAAAAAAAAAACAAAAATCAATATTCTTCCTATATTAATAGAGTATAACACTTACATATTTTCATATCCACCCCTAATTCTTCATTTCACTCTTCATTTCTAATCTCTTTGAAAAATTATAATGCAAACTCGTAAGATGGTTCCGGTTCATCGAATGTGAATGAATATGATGAATGGGAAGCACGAGTTGTTTAACAGAATAGACAGCGTGATGTTATCATGAGTGAGTTACTCATAGGCATGCCAAACATGAGCATAAAAGATCATCCTAGAGCAAGAAGGAGGTATTGAGATCGGGAACGCGAGCAGGGTGAGGCACGTTTGATGAAAGTCTAATTTGTTGACAACCCAACATATGGTGAAGCAAAATTCCGTGGTAGATTTCGAATGCGAAAACCACTATTCCTCCTCATAGTGGAAGCTGTTACAGCCAATGAACGACATTTTCAACAAACACGTGATGCCACAGGAAGACAAGGTTTTTCACCAATACAAAAATGTATCGCATCGATGAGGGTGTTGGCATATGGGACATCAGCAGATGCACTTGATGAATATTTGAGAATGAGTGAGATTGTGACAAGGGATGCTCTTGTAAAGTTTGTGGAAGGTGTCATTTCATGCTTTCGTGAAGAGTACCTTAGAAGTCCCAATCAAGATAATTTGGTACGATTGCTCCATGCTGGAGAAGAACGTGGATTTCCAGGTAGGGTAGGCAGTATTGATTACATGCACTGGGAATGGAAAAACTGCCCCACTGCTTGGGCTGTACAATATACAGGTAAAAGCGGTAAGACAACAATAATTTTGGAAGCTGTTGCATCATATGACTTATGGATATGGCATGCATTCTTCGGAACACCAGGTTCGTGCAATGACATTAACGTCCTCCAAAGATCTCCTCTTTTTGATGATGTCTTGGTAGGTCGAGCACCAAAGGTGAGACACACTGTGAATGATCGAGAAAATAATATGGCTTATTATCTCAATAATGGCATATATCCTTCATGGGCTGCCTTTGTCAAGTCAATAAGTTCTCCACAACTTCAAAAACACAAGTTGTTCGCTGAACATCAAGCGGCTGCTAGAAAAGATGTTGAACGAACATTAGGAGTTTGACAAGCTCGTTTTGCATTTCTTCATCTCCCTTGTCTTGTGTGGGACAAAGATATGATGGGGAAAATTATGATTGAATGTATTATTATTCATAATATGATAGTTGAGGATGAACGAAACACACACACACACATTCATTATTATGATCCATCATAATTAATAACTATAGAAGACGAAGAATCTTTTGAATACTCTACTCAACGAATTGGATCTATCCAATTATATGACTAAAATAGCACAAGTTTGCAATAGAGAAGCAAACAACGCTCTAAAAAACGATTTGATTGAGCATATATGGAAAAAATTCAACACTGAAGAATAATTTAGTATTTTGCATCTTCTGTATTTGTAACTTATTTAATCTATTTTATTAAGTATGTTTCATTAATTTAAATATTTTATTTATCTATTTTTATTTAATTTTATGTTTAAAATAAATAATTTATTTGTTTCAAAATAAAATATTTATATTTAATATTTCTAGTAGTTTTAGTAAAAGAAAAATAAAAATAAGTTATATTTTTTAAATAAAAATGGGTTTGGATTGGGTTGCTAATGAGTGTAAAAAATTAGATTGAATTGGGTTGTATAGGTGGAAGAGAGGGAAATTAATGTTTTTTATTAGAAAAGTTGGGTTGGGTTGGGTTTGTTAATGAGAGTAGTTTTAGACTACCCCCATTGGGGGATTTTTGGTGAGCCGCTCACGGAAAATTTATTAAAAAAATGAATTAATTTTGGTGAACTAGACCGGTAAAGCAACCCAACTCACAAAAAGATCACAACCATTTCACTTTAACATGTGTTTAACAAAGAAAGCGTTCCACCATATTTTTTTTAGATAAGATTATATATTTTAGGATAAAAAGCATTATCTACTAAAAATCTAATGTTATCTCAATAAAAAAAATAAAAAAAATACTAAAAGTTCTATTTTTTTCTCTATAAATAAAGTATAATATTGATATACATCATATCTCATCTCGACTTTTCATTTCTAAACCCTTTTGATTTCTTTAATAAGATGCATCCAAATTTCTTTTTAAATCTTAATGATTCTTAAGATTATCAATACTTTCAAAGCTATGAAACTTCACAGTTTTTTGCAAATCCCAATCAATTTCCCATCACTGAAAATGATCTAACCTCACAAAATACCGGAAAAAATCCAAGAGGTGATAAACGGGATGCTGATGAAGATATCGCTTTAATGTCAGCATATTGTATCGTTACTAAAGTTGAGAGACGTGGAAAAAACAGAAAGAAAACATCAATATGGGCACGAGTGAGGGAGCTATATGATGCAAATCAGGCGGAAAATCCAGGAAAACTTGGTAACAGGAGCATAACTCAAATGAAAGGTCGTTATAAACGACTTAATGAAAGTGCCGGAAAATGGGTTGGTATTTACTGAGAAGCATATAGAGAAAGAATAAGTGGAATGAGTATGAAAGATGTTGAGAATGAAGCTCATAAGTTGTATGAGACAAGTGCAAGCAAGTTCAATGACACAATTGGTTTTAATGAGGTTATGTGTAAACATCGAAAAAGGGATTTACAGCTAGATCATGATTCAACACGATCACGTCCTGAATATGAAGTGGGTGATGAAGAAAGTGGTGGTAGCACAAAAAGATCAAGGTGTACTGAAGAAGGGGAGTATTATGTCCAATCCAACACAGAAGGGGCAAATATTACTGGTTCAACAATTAAACGTCCAACGGGTAGAGATACGACTAAAAGAAATGAAATAGGTAAGTCTTCTAATGAAGTTGTTGCAGAATTTCGTGCAATAAGGATTAGTAGAGCTAGTGAAGTAGAAGTCATGAAAAAAGACTCGACTTAGATCAACAAAGGGAGCAAAAAACAGATGAAAGGGAGCTAGTGAAGTTGCAGAGTTTGCATTTGAACACACTCCTACAAAAGGAGCACTTGTCATCTGAAGAAGAAAACATGAAACGTTTTCTAATGTCTAAGTTTTATGGAAACTAATTGCAATTTAGGTTATGTTTTATTTTCATTGTACTTTTAGTGTATTTGTAAGATATTTTATTTTGTATTTGTATCTCATGCTTTTAATGTATTTGTCAGATATTTTATTATGTATTTGTACCTCATGCTTTTAATGTATCTGTAATATATTTTATTGAATGCAGAGTTGTCATTATTTTCTTTACGGAATGCATAGATGTCATTATCATCTTTCGGAGACACTACTCATTTCTAGTATTCTTTTCTTTAATACAAAGTTCCCATTATCATCTTTCTTGAATGCATTGTTGTGAGTATAACCTTATCATCTAGAAAATCCGCCATTATCTTATGTATATGAGATTCTGTGATGTGTCGTCTTTTTATTGCATTCTTGGATTTTATCTAGATAAACTATTTTAACATTGTCTTTATTTAAAATTTGAAAAAAAAAACAAAAATCAATATTCTTCCTATAGTAATAGAATATAACACTTACATATTTTCATATCCACCCCTAATTCTTCATTTCACTCTTCATTTCTAATCTCTTTGAAAAATGTCTCATAATGCAAACTCATCAGATGGTTCCGGTTCATCGAATGTGAATGAATATGAAGAATGGGAAGCACGAGTTGTTCAACAGAATAGACAACTTGATGTTATCAAGAGTGAGTTAGTCATAGGCATACCAAACATGAGCATAAGAGATCATCCTTAAGCAAGATGGAGGTATTGAGATCGGGAACGTGAGCAGGGTGAGGCACGTTTGATGAAAGACTAATTTATTGACAACCCAACGTATGGTGAAGCAAACTTCCGTGGTAGATTTCGAATGCGAAAACCACAGTTCCTCCGCATAGTGGAAGCTGTTACAGCCAATGACCGATATTTTCAACAAAGATGTGATGCCACAGGCAGATAAGGTTTTTCACACATACAGAAATGTACTGCAGCTATGAACATGTTGGCATATGGGACATCAGCAGATGCACTTGATGAATATTTAAGAATGAGTGAGACTGTGACAAGGGATGCTCTTGTAAAGTTTGTGGAAGGTGTCATTTCATGCTTTCGTGAAGAGTACCTTAGAAGTCCCAATCAAGATGATTTGGCACGACTGCTCCATGTTGGAGAAGAACGTGGATTTCCAGGTATGGTAGACAGTATTGATTACATGCACTGGGAATGGAAAAACCGCCCCACTGCTTGGGCTGGACAATATATAGGTAAAAGCGGTAAGACAACAATAATTTTGGAAGCTGTTGCATCGTATGACTTATGGATATGGCATGCATTCTTCGGAACACCATGTTCGTGCAATGACATGAACGTCCTCCAAAGATCTCCTCTTTTTGATGATGTCTTGGCAGGTCGAGCACCAAAGGTGAGTTATACTGTGAATGATCGAGAAAATAATATGCCTTATTATCTCACTAATGGCATATATCCTTCATGGGCTGCCTTTGTCATGTCAATAAGTTCTCCACAACTTCAAAAACACAAGTTGTTAGTTGAACATCAAGAGGCTGCTAGAAAAGATGTTGAAAGAACATTTGGAGTTTTACATGCTCGTTTTGCATTTCTTCATCGCCCTTGTCTTGTGTGGGACAAAGATATGATGGGGAAAATTATGATTGAATGTATCATTATTCATAATATGATAGTTGAGGATGAATGACACACACACACATTCATTATTATGATCCATCATAATTTATAACTATAGAAGACGAAGAATATTTTGAATACTCTACTCAACGAATTAGATCTATCCAGTTATATGACCAACATAGCACAAGTTCGCAATAGAGAAGCTCATAACGCTCTAAAAACGATTTGATTGAGCATATATGGAAAAAATTCAACACTGAAGAATAATTTAGTAGTTTGCATCTAGTGTATTTGTGAATTATTTTATCTATTTTATTAAGTACATGAATGTAAAATATTTTATTTATCTATTTTTATTTAATTTTATGTTTAAAATAAATAATTTATTTGTTTCAAAATAAATATTTATTTTTAATATTTCTAGTAGTTTTTAGTAAAAGAAAAATGAAAATAAGTTATATTTTTAAATAAAAATGGGTTTGGATTGGGTTGCTAATGGGTGTAAAAAATTAGATTGGATAGGGTTGTATAGGTGAAAGAGAGAGAAATTAGTGTTTTTTATTAGAAAAGTTGGGTTGGGTTGGGTTGCTAATGAGAGTAGTTTTAGACTACCCCCATTGGGGGATTTTTGGTGAGCCGCTTATGGAAAATTTATTAAAAAAATGAATTAATTTTGGTGAACTAGACCGATAAAGCAACCCAACTCACAAAAGATCACATCCATTTCACTTTAACACATGTTGAACAAAGAAAGCGTTTCACCATATTTTTTTAGATTAGATTATATATTTTAGGATAAAAATCATTATCTACTAAAAATCTAATGTTATCTCAATCAAAAAAATAAAAAAAAAATATTAAAAGTTCTGTTTTTTTTTCCCTATAAATAGAGTATAATATTGATATACTTCATATCTCATCTCCACTTTTCATTTATGAACCCTTTTGATTTCTGTAAAAAGATGGATCCAAATTTCCTTTTAAATCTAAATGATTCTCAAGATTATCAAAACTTTCAAAGCTATGAAACTTCACAGTTTTTTGCAAATCTCAATCAATTTCCCATCACTGAAAATGATCTAACCTCACAAAATACCAGAAAAAAAATCCAAGAGGTGATAAACGGGATGCTGATGAAGATATCGCTTTAATGTCAGCATATTGTATCGTTACTGAAGATGAGAGACGTGGAAAAAACCAAAAGAAAACATCAATATGGGCACGGGTGAAGGAACTATATGATGCAAATCAGGCGGAAAATCCAGAAAAGTTTGGTAACAGGAACATAACTCAAATGAAAGGTCGTTATAAACGACTTAATGAAAGTGCCGAAAATGGGTTGGTATTTACCGAGAAGCATATAGAGAAAGAAGAAGTGGAATGAGTATGAAAGATGTTGAGAATGAAGCTCATAAGTTGTATGAGACAAGTGCAAGCAAGTTCAATGACACAATTGGTTTTAATGAGGTTATGTGTAAACATCGAAAATGGGATTTACAGCTAGATCATGATGCAACACGATCACGTCCTAAATATGAAGTGGGTGATGAAGATAGTGGTGGTAGCACAAAAACATCAAGGCATACTGAAGAAGGGGAGTATTGTGTCCAATCCAACATAGAAGGGGCAAATATTACTGGTTCAACAATTGAACGTCCAATGGGTAGAGATGCGGCTAAAAGAAATGAAAAAGGCAAGTCTTCTAATGAAGTTGTTGCAGAACTTCGTGCAATGAGGATTAGTAGAGATAGTGAAGTAGAAGTCATTTAAAAAAGACTCGACTTGGATCAACAGAGGGAGCAAAAAACAGATGAAAGGGAGCTAGTGAAGATGCAGAGTTTGCATTTGAACACGTTCCTACAAAAGGAGCACTTGTCATCTGAAGAAGAAAACATGATTTTTCTAATGTCTAAGTTTTATGAAAAATAATTGCATTTTAGGTTATGTTTTATTTTCAGTATACTTTTAGTGTATTTGTAAGATATTTTATTTTGTATTTGTATCTCATGCTTTTAATGTATTTGTAAGATATTGTATTATGTATTTGTATCTCATGCTTTTAATGTATCTGTAATATATTTTATTGAATGCAGAGTTGTCATTATCATCTTTACTGAATGCATAGTTGTCATTATCATCTTTCGGAGACACCACTCATTTCAAGTATGCTTTTATTTAATACAAAGTTGCCATTATCATCTTTTTTGAATGCAGTGTTGTCAGTATAACCTTATCATCTAGAAAATCCTCCATTATCTTATGTATATAAGATTCTATGATGTGTCGTCTTTTTATTGGATACTTGCATTTTATCTAGATAAACTATTTTAACATTATCTTTATTTAAAATTTGAAAAAAAAACCAAAATCATTATTCTTCCTATATTAATAGAGAATAACACTTACATATTTTCATATCCACCCCTAATTCTTCATTTCACTCTTCATTTCTAATCTCTTTGAAAAATGTCTCATAATGCAAACTCATCAGATGGTTCCGCTTCATCGAATGTGAATGAATATGATGAATGGGAAGCACGAGTTGTTTAACAGAATAGACAACTTGATGTTATCATCAGTGAGTTACTCATAGGCATGCCAAACATGAGTGTAAGAGATCATCCTAGAGCACGAAGGAGGTATTGAGATCGGGAATGTGAGCAGGGTAAGGCACGTTTGATGAAAGACTACTTTGTTGACAACCCAACGTATGGTGAAGAAAAATTCCGTGGTAGATTCCGAATGCGAAAACCACTATTCCTCCTCATAGTGGAAGCTGTTACAGCCAATGACCGATATTTTTCATCAAATACGTGATGCCAGACGCAG